CCCCAAAACCCCAAAACCCCAAAACCCCAAAACCCCAGAGCAATTATGGAAGGTTGAACCAGCATCTTTGGTGAAATTTTATTCACAGATTATTCAGCTTAGTTTAATTAATTTTCCTTAAAATTTTGGAAATTGTCAGTCAAGATTAGCTCAACAGCTCAACAAAAAGATGTCTTGCTAGTTAGCACTCTATCTAATTTAATGCGTGTCAGCATCTTATTTTTTCCAGAATCATTTCATTCCAACTTGTGGTATCCAAACATCCAAACAATAGAAAAGAGTCTAAAGTTTTATGTGTAAATTCTTGATGGAAGAAAAGAGATATATGGCATTAAAATCTCTCTGAGCTGTTAAATATTTCATTCTTAATGCTGCATAGAGTCATATAAATGTGTTTTAAAGTGTGTATGATCCCTTTGGTCTTACCAATGAAGCCATACAGTCAGGTAAAGTACATGGAATATCTCTAACCATCTTTATTTTTCAAAGACTCTTTCCCAATGATTTTATCAAAGTTCATGAACTCTAATTGGTTTGGGTTTAGTATATAACAAAGACATAAATAAAGCTCTATGTTCTAATCTGATGACTGAACTCTCTTCTTTAAGCTTAAAGAGGATAGTTCTTTTAGAAGTGCCAATTTGGACATCTTCAAAAATTGATATCTTAAATTTTATCAAGAATCATTAAAAATTATTTCGAAGTATAGGAGGAATTTACGATTTTTGTTCAATCCAGGGCCAAATATTTTAATTAAAAAATCAAATTTTTCACCAAATGCGCCCTAATTCCTTTAGGATAGACTTAAACAAATTATAGCTAAATACTCCAAAGTCCAAGGAGACTAATAAGTGTAAAGGGAGGTTTATTTTCATTCCTCACGATTTCAGTAATTCTTCACTATTACATTAAGACTGTCTCTAAACTCAGTTTAAAAGTTCTCCAAAATACCCCAGCCCATTTGATTAAAACTCTTAATAAAGACTAAAGGGCAACAGAAATCTAGAAGAGTTTTCTCATGAACTAAGGGCTAAAAGAAGGATTTCTTTCCACCATCGTTCTAGTTTTCCTCCTATTCTCTGAAGAAAATAGCTAAGTTTTAGATTTCTAAAGTAGTATTCTTCTTCCTCTAAATTTCTAAAGGAACCTAGCTGAAGTATAGATTTACTCTCTGGCTGAATGAAAAAGGCTCTTGCTCAAAATTAGAGATATTTACTCCCATTTCTTTGTCTGTTGAAGATGGATTTATCTATTTCTTCATCAATCTTGGTTGTTTGTTCTGGAAGAAAGGCCGAGTAATGTTTTATGGCTTTGTCTCCTCCTTCATATTTCATCTTTTAAATAACTATAAGCTGCCATTCTAAGACTTTTTTGGTATAACTCTTCTCCAGTTTACTTGCATTGATAAAAGTTGATCATACTTTCTCTCAGATTTAACTAGTTCTAGAACCTAAACAAGAAATAATTTTCCTCATAATTTTTCTTTAATTTAATAAAGAGGGTCAGGTTAAGATTTTAACTGCAACACGAATTAATATCAATCTTATAAGAGTCTTTGGCACAAAAGCTGGGTCTCATATAAATAGTAGGAACTACTCAAATAGGATGGTTGGAACTCAAGAACCAAATGGAGTTTTAGAACTATGGGGGTAATCTAAGAAGAACTATAATCTAGTTGCTTCTTAAAGAGATAAATGAAGCCTGTTAAAGTCTTATTAGCCTTTAGATCTAATGCTTGATTTATTCTCACAGGTTTTGAGTTTACTCTATTTATGGACGAGGGATTTTTATTTGGAACCTAAATCTTAAATAATTTTAACACATTTGCATCATGGAGTCAACCTTTAACAAGTTATTATTTGGCTTAATGAACTTCTTTCTCATCCCTTACTCTTTTAAGCATTCGAAATTTGGTAGAGGCTTTGTGTATAAAGTCAAAAGTCTCTGATTTATTATCTATTGTTCTTCTCATAGAAATTATTAAAAAGATGATTAATTTACAAATTTGGGTATATTGGAAGAACGAAAAATCGCCTCAGCTAATAGTAAGAAGAGGAGATCTACAAAATAATGTGAGGACTTGGCTATTATTAACAGGCTATCTTTCATTTTACTCTAGCATAGTAAATATAATATTTCATAACAAATAGAGTAAATAAAAATGGAGAAATTTGGAACTATAAATTATGAATCATGCCTTTCTTCGCAGCTAGTATTATTTCAGCTTCCTTCTTTCAAATTTCAGAGTTATGGATCGATTTTCTTCTTTTTCAACTAATTACATATTATGAGAAATTTCAAGCTCAAAAGTTAAATTATTAAAAGACTCTACAGCTCTAAATAGAAAATGTCGAAAAAGTTAACCAATTTCTGAGCCAATAAACCTTTCCCAGTGGAAGCCCATATCATAAGAAGTAAGAGGATAGCCATGCAGAGCAATTGAGAGACTCTCAGCTCATTATATGCAGAGAAGCCGATGTATTTCATCCCCCAAATTTATCCGTAAAGGACTCCCAACAACGAGGCAGATTTAAGCGGGTACATTCCTATCCATGAAAAATAATAGAAGAGCCTTCCCAAGTTTATAGTCTTATCTAATTTTAGTGTCAGAGGTAAAAATATTATGAGTCATTAAGACTATCATATTTTTGCTGAAATGGTTAGAGGTCATCAAATGCAGTAATTTCTACTAGCATCTTGAGTTGGTCTTAGTATTGCAAGCATTATTGGAGATGTGTGTACTTTGATGAAAGACAATAAGCCTGAACCAGCTCTTATTGCATCGAAACACCTCCTAAAGACAGAAGCAAGAGCTAGCAAATAAAAATATAAGATAATGAATCTTATTTATTTCTAACCTTTCAAGCTAGTTATTTAGAAAATTCAAAGTTTGTTAAAATTTATTGCCAATAATTATTTAGTGCCTGAGTTCTCAGTCAGACTTTAAAAGTTCTTCCAAAATCATCTCTGAAGGAAGTCTCCTTAGGTCTGCTCTATTAGAAGGAAGACTCATACTAACATTTTTTGTACCTTCGAATTCTTCAGAGAAGCTCCTTTCATTTCTTTTGTGAATTTTAAATGTTGATACTTTGAAGGATGAAGGGGCATCCTTTGTTGTCTTCTGATTAGAATTTGATGACAACTTCAAACTCTAAGCTCCTTTAAAAATGAAAAATTCACTTTTATCTTTAATATTTCCCTTATCATATCTAAGTATATTGTTAAACTTCTTTCAGCTCCTCACAGACTGCACATCATGACTCTGCTCATCAAAATCACTTCCCAAGACCTCATCTCACTCTCTCGAAATCCCATCCTTAAAACCCCCCAAACTACGTTCAAACTCCATAATAATTATAATCCCCAACATCTCCTCCCTTAAATGGGGTTTTGGGGTTTTGGGGTTTTGGGG